GGGGGGAAAGTGGAACAGACGTTCAATAAAGGCAGGGAGACATCCGTGGAACAGAGGTTGCTTTCACTGTTTATCAATGGTCACTGCCAAACGCTTCGTCAGTTGGTTGGCGGGATATCTTGATCACCACAGGAAAAAAGTGACACCCGCTAGTCAGTAAACATTGCGCACTTTGCCGATAATCACCAAAGATTGCGTTTCAATGAGCGGTACTACAAGAGAAGTGACCGTTCGAAATGGATAACAAACAGACCGAAGCAATTTGGTTTCGCATTTTTATGGCTGCACCTCAGTAACTCTACACACGCCACAACGACAGTTACAGAATGCAAAGTAACACTACTACTCGAAGCTTTCGCCTGAGCTCACTTCAGTATGATGCTTTTTTTTGCGCTCATTGGATGCATCTTCTATACTCGGTATTCACAGCATAGAAAAATTTCAATAGCTCATTGCTAATTTTAACGCTCTCTTTGCTACATTTGGCTGTTAGCACAGACAGAAACCGCTAAAGCAATTCACTTACCGGAACTGAATGACAAATAATTCCAGAGGATGCTCGGCATTCGAAAACAGGCAGCTTGTAGCAGTAAGAAGAAAGGTACCCATTTGTAATAAGAGAGTTGTCGTTCTGGACTATAGCGTTCTTCCTCCCTCAAGGTCGCAACGTGGATATCCGGCTGCACATAATATGTATCGCGAGACCAGCAATAGTTTTCCGCATACTGAAAAACCTATATTGAAACTACAGATTTAGTCTGCTTTTTCAGCTCACTTACTCTCTTAAACCACATCAACATAGTTGACAGCGCACCAACTGCCGATGCGAAGATGCGTTTTCTGCACAGTTTTACCTGTAAATTTTTGTGCTAACGGCACTTTTTTTTTTGACAGATGCTTCTTGTCAAACGAACTAGACCGGCCATCACAGTGTGACAAATTATTACAATGATTCATCCCTAAACACGGTTGTGGGCATGATTAAAGAAATTCGGCACTCTAGATGCTTTGTTTGCAGACGTGTGTTATGGGTTTGTAAAACAGTAATCCCCTTCGCCCTCTCTCCCTTGGCCTACTATTAGCATACTAATAAAGCATTATACGCGAGGATGAGTTGGGCTGATCAAGTGGCAAGTGTGAAAGACAACAGATGGACGAAGCGAATTACTGAATTGTACCAGCGCATAATACGTTTCAAGTTGGTAAAGCAATGAAATAAGGCTTCTGATTTTGAAAAAGATAAATTTTAGCTCGCACTTGCTCCCAGGATCCTGGAAATTTGTTTGGAAACATGCATTCCAGTGGTCGACCGCCAAACTGTTTAAAACTGATCAGTACAGCAAAAGCTAATAGAATGTTGGCAGTATAAAGATAGTGTAGGCGATCGGTAGCATCGTCGTCCTGCTTTGGCGACAGATACCGAACCATTGAAATCAGCGACTCGATCATCATTCTGAATCATCCGGATTCGTTCTGCGCAGCTCGACAGCAAAGATTTAGTAATTCCCACCGACCTTTTTCACCACCGCAAACTATAAAATTTGCAAAATTTTTAAAAATTCTTGCCAAAAAAATCAGATACGATCTCCTTTCTCTCCGCCCTCTCTCCCCTGCTCTAGCAATAAGGCATTTACGCTAGGAAGAGCTGGACTGGTCATGTGGCAAGTATGAAATACAAAAGACGAATGAAGCGAATTACTGAAATGTACCAGCGCAATATTAAAGAATACAGGAATACCCAAGTATGATGGAAAAATCCGTTCGACGCTTATATAAAACTAACACAGAAGAGAAAGCCTAAGACAAAAAAGAATATAGAAGTTGCCAGCTGCAACAATGACGAGAAGAAATGTGATGCTGAAATAACAGCTGATAAAAATCGAAAAAATTTGGAAGAAAGAACCCAATGAGTGAACTCTACGTTTCTTCGGTAGAATTGTACGCCGTATTAGATAT